CCGAGAGCTGAAAAGTAAATTTGCATGTCACCTACAGGTAACGCTTCTACTAACCGGTTCCTACTTGAATTTTTGGTGCTCGACCGCTTTAAGCGTGGAGACGACGCATCTCAAAGTAGTCAAGGCACTAGGGTTAGCGATCACGTTCTTAGGTGAAGTTCCTGGGTCAACGACTTGAGCAGTGCTCAAGACACCCAAGGGTCCTGAGAACGACCTCACCCTACGTGACTTGGTAGGATAGGTAGTTACCTAGCATTAATATTCCGTTGTTGTACTCAAAATTCGTTATGGTCTAACCTAATGTGTTTAAGCGAAGATATTAAGGAGGAAAAATTCAAATTTGAATTGTCGAATGCGGATAAATTTTAAGTAAATTCTAAATTCTCAATTTTCGAGTATATTATTTATTTTCTTATTGCATTATTAACGTAAAGAATCGTGATGACTCAAATATAATTAATACATGTAGAAATTGAAGATACGATTTCCTTAGAATTATATGATTAAATAAATATAAGATAATTAAAAATAGAAAGAAATTGATGGTACTTATTTAAATAAACCTTCCCCTCCACATATGATTGCGAGTTTCCTTTTTAGAGTTTAAGAATAAAAACTAGAATAATAGCTGTTAAGATATTTATGAAATTGTTTTAAATAAACTAAGAATACTGTCTATACCCAAAAAAGGGCAGAAATAAATTAAAAAAGATAAAGACATTAACTGAAGGGAATATTCAGGGAACGATAAAAATAAATAAAGCAATTATCACGAATAATTGCTGTATATCGAGCAGGAATCAATTGATTATTCAACAGATAAATTTTGAAACTTGATAATAATTATTTCAAATATTTTATATAATCGGCATTATGAGCAACTTCGCTTTTTTACACAGGGCAACGAACCCGCCTTCCAACATATAAACACTAACATTGTTTGAGTGTTGGTTCCGAATCTTAGAGTTTCTTCGGTACAGATAATATTCTTAGCCGATTGTTACCACCACCAATTAACTGGGGTTATACTCAAAGAAAGGGAGGTCGTAAGATATATATATACGTTCTATAATTATTTAGTAGCATTAAATTTGTGTATGTGTGTGTGTATATATTAAATACATGACGTCATTATTTTTATTTATTCATAAAAATAAAAATAAAGGATGCGAACTTTATTCTGTGTAATTGTCTACTAACAGAGAAATGTGAAGTTGCCTAATCAAAAAATTTTTAATGTTAAAAATAACATTACTTTCATAATCAAAATACTTACAAGTAAACTATACACTTAGCACTTTATAACTACCGTCCTACGCGTTCCCTACCCTATACCACCTCGTGCCCTCCATTGAGGTAAGTGGAGCAGTTTTTAAACTTATTTTAAGCAATTTTTTGCCGTTAATGATGAATAAAAGAAATTTTTTTTTCTTACGTTTACTAATTTTAAACAGTTGCTTCTATTCATTCCTATTTTTTAATAGATGCACATTAATAGTATGTAAATGCAATTTACAACTTAACTTAGGGTGCCACACCAGCTCTCCTCTTTTCTACGTCTGGTACCTACCGATGGATGTAAAAAAATTTCTTGTTATTCTAATGCTAGACGTTCGCCACCCCATGACAAGGTAGGTAAATACCACAATTGAAATTTGATTGCAATGATAATACGTTATACGGTAAATGTTGTTTATATTCTTAGCGTCTTCATCGTGAGCTTTTATTACTATCTTTTAGGTCAGTTTTTTGAAACTCGAAATAAACTATCACCTTCTACAAGATAACGTGTTCAACTGATAAGTAGTGAAATGCCCATTACTTTTTTCGTCGCTCCTTAGGACCACAAAAATATAACTAGATCACTGAGTATGCTATATGCTAGGGTACTTATAATGTTTAATGTTTAATGTCAATAAAATTTTGCAGATCAATCAATATACGATAGTACTACCTTGAAAAGTAATAGTGTTTGTGATTAAAATTGTGATACATTGATCACTGTACTTTTTTGACTATATGAATTAGTATACAAAAAAGTCGTTAAATATAATGAAAATAAATATCTCATGCCTCTGACGTTAGTATCATAAAATGTTTATCCGTACGTGTAAAATAGTTGATAGTACATACACACACACACACACAAGTCTTACGAGTGGGAAGCAAAAACATTGTTGCTTGAGTAGCCAAGTAGTTACAAGCATCGGAAGCTAGGTCATCATGCAAGCAGCTCTTGAGTCTGACCCATCACAGCTTTTATATTCTAGCAGGTGTGACTGTGTAGTTTTTTGAGCATTATAATCTTCTGTTTGTTATTTTTATAATATAATCTTATGTCCCATAATCTAAGACAATACAAGATGAAAATATTAGATAAAAAAAAAATTAAATGAAAATACAAGAGCCAGCTTGTAGTAGAGTAGAATTTAAATTGGCAATCAAAAAAAGCAAATTATATAAAGCCATTTACATAGAGTAATAGTCAATTAAAAGTAACAAATGTAATCTACACTGTTTCGTTACGAAATACAATATTATCACTAAATATAACTCACTAAAAAATACACATATTTTATGTACAAAACATTAACAAAATTTAACGTTTAAAAAATACAATAACTAATACTTACATTTAATAATATTTACTTATTAAANTTAGATAACTAATAACAATTAATCCGTTCTGATAATTTTTTTGGTATTTAATGGTCAATTAATGTACACAAATAGAATATATGAGGTTCTATAAATACATACATTGATATTTATTGCGTCTTATTTTTCCGAAGTTTTTTTCGTTTATGACTTAGGTGATTTTTTAAGTTAAGAACGTTCATCACAATTAGTATGAGAAAAACTTGGAGAGGTGAGAGGAGTGTAAACATGTAGCAATGCTGGTGATTATTTTGCTCATATGAATACAACTATGTATACGCTATTACGCATGGTCATTTTCTTTTTTATTGTATTAAAAAAATTATTCTTGGATCCATTTGAAAATTTAATGTTTTCACATAAGAGTTATCTATCATACAAAAAAATTTTGGTGACAAGATGAAAAAAAACTTTTTTGAATTGGAAATCTGTATTTAGTGCCTGTCTATTCGAGCCTACGAAATATGCCAGTTTTTTAAAAATAACCTGTGTGTTATTGACCATAACTCAAATTTTAAAATGAGTCAAAAGTCAAAACTTTTCACGTAGTGTAAATGTTGCTACTGTCTGCGTATTTTTGCATATAAAGAATTCGTACTCAGTTATTCATATATTACTATTTCTTTTGTTTGTTCTGCCTGTACTCACTATTCATTTTATTGTATTTAATGTTTTTAATGCGAAATTTTCAATTTCTTTTTCTTTTATCTTTGGGGTAAACTGAATTTCCTTCTATTCAAACATAAGTCAATAGTTAATAACTTTTTTTATTTAAAAAGTACAGAGCAAATTTACATTTTAGACATTCCAAAGAATCATTTAAGAATTAATTCACTGAGATTAATTGGGGATTAATAAAGACTTAAATAAAAGAGCTAACCAGATGATGGATGACCTGATTTTTTAACTGCTTTTCTTTAAGTTAAAGATAAAACAAATGATAAAGATAGAAAGATAAAAAAAATAATTTTTTTCCTTTAAGTTTTTAAGATTCCTTGCACTCGAGACGTGGCCTATCTAGGGTAAGTTGCATAAAAGTTACTCTTTTGATAAAGAACTTAGTATCTTTTGTTACTAGAGAGTTTTAAACATCAAGTGTGTATATAAAATATGTTTTTGGGGCCGTAAGCTCTCAGAATTATGCACAGATCTAATTTGAGTAATAAAATTATATCTCTGTGTACTTATAAATCTTTTTTTCTTAACTAAAGTACGTATGCAAATGTAGAATTTAGCGCATTTGTCAAGCTATGATAATAAATTTAATTTAATAACTGCTGTTCAAATTTTGGCTACAGTGTCATAAAAATAAAGGTGGTGAATAGTTTCTGCTACAATAACGACATTAATTTCTTTGTATAACGTCATTTATGTACGTATACAACATGTACATGAAAATCTATAAAGATGACCGCACAAACAGTCTTGAATAATAAAACGATGTAACGTTGTAGAACACAGTTAAAATAAATTGATTAACTTAGCTTTGAAATAAGCTCATACGACCTTTAATAGTTTTCTGTAATAATATACATAGAAATATCTTAAATTATTGTAGTGATGTACGATAAAAACTAATAACAATAACAAGTTTTTCTAAAAAGTAACAGTTTTAAAAATAACAGTAAAAATATAAAACTAAAATTAAAGTTAACTTAAAAAAGACTACTTGTACAATAATACTAATAAACAGAAGCACTTCAATAAATTATGACAAGAAATATGAACGTTATGATGATAAAGTAGTTACATAAGTATCGGAATATCCAGCTGAGTTTCTATCAGTTACGGTTACATTATATGTATGGTTACGTCAGTACAAGTTATTGTGCAAGATGTGCGTGGTGTTTGAAACACTACGCGTTCCCTACCCTATACCACCTCGTGCCCTCCATTGAGGTAAGTGGAGCAGTTTTTAAACTTATTTTAAAGCAATTTTTTGCCGTTAATGATGAATAAAAGAAATTTTTTTTTCTTACGTTTACTAATTTTAAACAGTTGCTTCTATTCATTCCTATTTTTTAATAGATGCACATTAATAGTATGTAAATGCAATTTACAACTTAACTTAGGGTGCCACACCAGCTCTNAATATCCAGCTGAGTTTCTATCAGTTACGGTTACATTATATGTATGGTTACGTCAGTACAAGTTATTGTGCAAGATGTGCGTGGTGTTTGAAACAGATATTACCATGTTAATATGAAGCATTGACCTGACTGTGAGCTACAACGGCAGCTGCACTACTTACATGTGGTATAATGTTTGTGAGTAGAGATAATGACAAAGCAACAGCTCTTTTAATGTATGTTATGATAATAACAGATGCATCATATACTTACCAATATGTTACTGATTTCTTTTAGAACACTGGTTTGTCAGTTAGCTAATTGCTTACTTGCATGAAATAATCATTAACTGTTGCTTTTTGGTATTTGTATAGTTATCTGATCCAATGTCTACAGTTGAAAATGGAAAGGACGTACACGGAATACTGGTACAACAGTTGTAACTTAGACCTTAGGCCAGCTTTATGCCTTTCTGAATTACTAAATACTGACAGTAATGATTATCACTCTTTCATACCACATGGCAGTACTAAGTTTGTAACTAAGATGAGGCAAGCAACAGAGGCAGCCAGCATGCCGATAACTGAGAATGTGTACTGACTGATAAGTTCTGCGCAGTAGGTACGGCTTGCACAGTCTTCTAATTGGTTCAACCTCTAGCGCTCATTTTTAAGATCCTACTGACGAGTTTTGTCACAATTAATAATAAATAAGCCATAGAACTTTCTATGGGATATCTCGCAAATAGACATAAAAATCAAAAAGTTTCATAACATGCTTGTCAATTATGGCATGTGGAGAGAAATTGTTAGAATTATTTAAAAAAGGGTGTATCACAATAGTCTTTTGAAATCCAACTATACACATCAAAAATTGTTATTTTGCTATCGTTAACATTTTTTTACCTTAAAAAAAAATCTATTTAAATCATACATGTATGGTTTTGGCTCCATTGTAAATTTTCTTCAGACCTTTCATTGTATACAATTAAGTTATATTTAATATAACGACATTTTTTGTTACAAATGGTGCAAAAATATATTCGTTCAGGACAAATGGAAAAAGTATTATAAAAATCTGAATGTTCCAATGACTAAGCAAACAAGTAACTAGTAAATAAGTCAATTAAACTATTGAAAACTACTAAAGAAATACTTATGCAAACTGTACGATTTAACATAGTTATGAATATGCATCATTACTATTGTTTAAATCAGTTATTCAACTTGCCATTAGGAACTTGATAAATTATTGACTTATTTTATAGACTTTCATAAACGTTTGATAACAATGTGATGGTTTAATCCATTTCTTATAACTGATCTTAAACAATAGCAGATAAAAATTAGTTTTTAACCTTTATAAATAAACATTAGTCCTCAAAGGTACACTACTAATGTATTTAGAGCTGCAAAATATTCTTGAGCATTTTAATTTATTCTCCACTGATTTTTATCAAGGCAGTTTTTTTTTACCAACTATGTTAATAGGCCAACCCTAAAACGGCGTACTAGTAGCTGCTTAAAATTTGAAGCAGTAACGTCTTATCATCTATCTTTGCTTGGCAAAACTTCAACAGATACATTTTCTTAGATAACTAATAACAATTAATCCGTTCTGATAATTTTTTTGGTATTTAATGGTCAATTAATGTACACAAATAGAATATTACCTTTAAAACGATTGAGAAATTTTAAAAAATCACGTAATGAGTATCTGAAAAGATCTAGAAAGTATGTAAGAATTTTGTAGTTAAATCAGTTTCGATTAGTGTTTGAGAAATGTTTTATAAAATTTGTTTAATAAATAATATTTTTTCTAGGTAACTGCCTCAAAAAGTTATCTACGCAAACAACAGTAATCGTGATGTCCAATGTACAGTGGCACTTTTATTCCTTAGCACATTTAACAAGTATAATCTGGAACTCAGGATTTTTTCCATAAGTTTCATGCCTCAGTTAGGAACTATTTATTGTATAAAACATCGTTTCTTCAACATAATGTATACTAACTTATACGCAACTTAATTTACAACATTTGTTATGTAAAAAAATTTCTGTAGTACGATATTATTACGTGTTACATAAATGTATAAATAAATTTATAGGTTCAGGAAAAAAGTTGGTAATTGGCATTATTTATTTGGGGTTGCAACTGTATACTTTGTTTATCTATTTATTAAATAAGTACTTCAATGAGAAACATAGCTCCTATCGTAAAATTTTAAGCTTTCAGATAACCTAACCATGTTATCAGTATATATCTATGCGTACTTGTCATAATGACACTGCCTTAAAACATCAGTTAAGATTTCACTTGAAAACTCAAATATCATGTCAAAAACTCACGTAAGATCTTAGTTGAGGTTTCTTAACAAGTATTATTGTAAAAGAGACAAAATTCCATTTCATAGTTTTGAAGTTTTCCCTGTAAAGCTACTCGGAGAATGGTTCATTGAAAAATACTTCTTTCTTAGTGTTCTATGTCAATTATTTGGAAATTTAAAAGGTTTTTTAGTCAAGACCTCTCGAAGAATTAAAAAATTTTATAACTTTTTTTTTTTAGTAGCTAACTACGTTATCGACATCAAGTCGATGGCTGGCAACCTTGCATATTAAATGTAATATATTATCTACATTTAAAGTTGTCTGCTTCTGCTCTCAGCTTAGTGTCTCGTGTACCTACATATATGTACATACATTTAATGTGTTTGTGTTTTTACGCCTAAACAAAAATATCACTGGAAAGGTAGATATGTTTTAAAAAGAAGGTACTTCATGGAATCAGATACATCCTTTGACTTTTTTAAAGTATCTCCAAGTGACTGACACTACAGCTCCGAATCGTAGGTTTTGCTGGCTTTAGATGCAACGTTGCCTCATGTTTTTAATTTATGTTATTTTTATCATTCTGTCACAGATATTTCTGTAATATCAATTATAACAACAGTCAAAACTTCGCACAATTGTTTCACACACTTTATTCTCTCTACACCACAAATTTTGTTGTCCTGTGTGATTTCCATCACACTTTTTAATCAAAAATTTACAGCTGTCCCATAAAAGCACATGTTAACCATTGCATTTTCAGTGTCACATTTCTTAATAATTAGTATTATAACGTATGTTTTTAAAAAATGCATGTATTCTAGACGCTCTTAATATTTATACACTCAATTTTCATCGACTTCTGTAATTATTTTCAAAAAGGAGGCAACGTTCTTAAGACTGTTATACGATTAGGATTTTTTAAATGTTTAAAAATATTCAGTCTAGATACAAGTATGCTAAAAAAGTAGTGCTGCTCACGCTTTTTATCATTAAAAGTATGGATTAATATTTTTTAATTTTTAACATGATTTAATTACTTCTTAAATAAGAAAGCATGATTTTAAAATTTTTAAAAGATAGGATTTTTGTAAAACTTCAAAAACTTTATATTTTTCTTATGAAGTCATAAATGACTTCAAATTTTCATTTGATTTCTTATAAGTCGTTTTTTAAAATGATGACATCTGAATTACGAAGTCTTTAAACTCGTTTTTCATTGTACTTGACAATATTTCTCGTTGTTATATATGAAAAAAAAAGTAATTTCAAACGTAAAAGTCGTCTTGCTTATAATTAGCTTTTATAAAGCTCAGTAAGCAAAGTTTGGTGGCGCATCATTGTTACTTAAAGAATACTGTGTGTAATGTATATGATAAGAAAGTACCACTAGCATTAAAAAGAGTGTCAGATTTACTGCTGGCAGAGGGCTAGAAAATTTTTGGGAAAGTTAAAAAAAATCATCACCCACTGAATGAAATAGAATTAAAAGTCGGACTACAACAATAACCTCTCTTACTTTCGTTTACCATCAGATATAAGATACTTAGATGAATAAAATGAAATTGAAATGCAATAATAGAAATTCATACATACTTTCCATTCACAATTTTTTGTAAATGAATTGTCACATCTCAAAACAGGAGAAAATTTACAAAATAATCGGCAACAACTGATTATCAGTAAAGTATAACAAGAAATGTATACGTAATTCTTTCCTACAGAATTATTAAAAATTAGGATCAAAGTAAAATGACAAAACATTTAACATTTTTAATCTATTTAAGTCTCCAATTAACTCCCATGCAGTTTTAATTGTAGTTTTATAAAATTTGTCTAAAATTCATAATATCTTCCTTATATGTGTTACATCCCGAGTTGATACGAATTATATTATAACTAAAAGCTATAAGTCTGTCAAATTCAGATAAGACGTATTAAGAATATAATGCAAGCTCTTATGACAAGAGGAGCTCGTACGTCACTTATGTGTGTGCGTGTGAATGAATAAATCGTATTGTATGTATGAATGAATAGTTACTTGCTCATTAATTGCTCAATTCTAATAATAAATACTAAATTACAATTTGTAATTCACACATTACTTCATTATACGTAAAATTGATTGTAAGATACTCAGAAAAATTAATTTCGAAATTTGCAAACTTACTGTTACAATTGAACTTGTACTTGGTGTTCTTATATTGCTAATGTGAGTTTTCATCATCACTGACCCAAAAACTTAATTGCACTTGTCAAAAAAAATGTGATAGGTACTGTTGTTTTGTTAATTCCTAATATATAAAATCCTGATCTGTGACATCATCGTGCAAGCCTACTGTTTTGCTATCGACGCAGTCTGCGAGAACATCGCTCATTGTTTAACCTAATTCAACTAAAGACCTCTTTAACTCGCTCTGATGATATAAAAACACACCATCAAGAGGAGAAATCGCTCTCTTTACGTCTGTCACCTACCTCTAAAGCTTATGGATGAGCTCTAATAACAGCCGCTTAAGGGGGCTCCTACGACTACTGCTGAGGTCAAAGACAAACAAAAAATAAAGTTTTGTTTTTCAATAAACAAATGTGTCTGAAAATCATTATGATATTTTTAATAACGTATGAAGTGGGAAAAATGATATTTATGTCTGTAGTTTAACTTTGTACGAAAAATTAATTATTGTTTTTACCAGTCTAGTGCATACGAGGGTACACCACCAGACCAGACCACCTGTGTTGGTGTAGTATAGCGATGTAATATATAGGTATATAGGTATATGGTATATATATATGTGTCGTGAACAAGTACGTCTGCTACCCACGTGACCTCCTGACCTCCCGGACACTATTTATTTATTTCCATCACAAATATCTCGCTAAAATGGTCCTTTATCCACAATTTTTAATACAGCATATTACAGAGGAAGACTTCATCTACAAAACGTATATATTCAGTCTGCTGGGACATTTAATTTAGGTTAATTATAAACGAAAACAAATTGTTTTTCACGCTGCCCCATAGGAACACGTGCTAATAGTTACAACTTTGAGCTCGGATTTCTCAAAATTTTGACCCATTCGAAATATAATTTAGACCACCATTAAATTCAGTAGACTTTTATTTACAAGAAATAATATATCTCTGTTTGGGGACTTTCGTGAAGGAGCCCTCTTAATACCCTATGTAACTTTGCACAGTTATTTCCAGACTCAAAGGCAAAGCTCAAAAGAGTTTAGT